GTTTTATTAAGAAATACAAATGCCATTTTGGTCCGTCCTTAGATAGCATAAGGTTCAATCTTGTAAAATAAATCCAGGTGATCTACAGCTCTAGGAGTATGAGTTATGGTTGACTCGGGCACAATGATTGTAGTTATAACACTTTTGTGTTTTTTATGTCAATACGCTGTTGTGGCCATCTTGTTGTTGGTGAACATCCAATAATTATTGTAGAAGAGTTCCATTTAAATCTGGCCAGGAGTTCACGAGACAGACCAACAGGAGTGGGCAAAACCACAGTCACCATTTTCGCGGTAGCAGGTGATGATTACGAGTTCTCTGGGCTAAACGAAATGTTTTTGTTGTGGTTTTTCGTCTTTAGACTCCTAGCTAATCTGCGTTGGTCTTCATGTCCTTCCAAAACCCACAAACCAGGCAGAGGCGAGGATCAGTAAAGGTCACCAGCAGATGCAGTCCCGCATTCATCTGGAGATCAAATGGAGCCTCAAAGGCCAGTAGGACATCAGTAGCAGAGCTGCTTTCAAACCCCGTCCCAGGGTGTAGCAGAGGTAAAACTGTTTGCATGAGAGCGTACACTTCTAGTCCCAATCTTGTCTCATTTTCCCCAAGCTGCGTCTGCTTCTCTCAGCTCTTTGTTCTTGGTGTGGAGAGAAGCTCTGCAGCAGAGAGGAAAGAGATGGAGGGGAGAAGAAAAACAGGGAGGGGTGAGGAGAGATTTGGAAAACAGAGAGAGTGGGAGGAAGTGAGAGACGGTGGAAGGAGTGCGGGGATGCGCTGTGGTGCGAGCAGTGACTCTGTGCTGCTTACAATATGACTCTGACAGGCTTATGTAACCAGACTGGGCTGGCACTTGGCGCACAGCAGACGCCGGCTGCACAGGCTGTTATATAACTGCGTTAGCTGCTCCTCTGAGCTGAGGCGAGCATGCGCACTGGAGAGCCACACGCACACACACACACACACACACCTCCACTAAGTTAATCAAAGCTACATTCTAGAAAATAACTGCACTGTCTTCATTTCCCACCACCCAGCAACAGGTTTCCCATCATGAAAAGCCTAATTGGGGCTTAATGTTGGGTAAATGTTTCCAGTGCACATGCAGCATGCCAGCAGGGTCCAAACTCAATTACCTCCCCTGCATGCAGAATATAATTTAATGGGCCCAGTTTCAACTCCTAAAACCCCAATTACACCTCAGACAGGCATTTCAAGTCATTCTGGCGATGAGGAGGATGAGGAGGAGGACGACAGGGATGCACGGTGCACCCTCTGTAACTATAAACTGGTTCATTGTAAACATTTTTTCTTTTCCCTGAAAAACGTGGAGAAAAAACCTGAAGAGGAGATTAGGTCAGGGCAAACACCGAACGTGATAACAACCATCTGAGTCAATCTGCAATTAAAAGTCCCGCCGGACGCCTAACCGAGCAAGCGTCGGCCTCACAGCCGCTCACAATCAGCACATCACAGCCTCTGATCCCTCAGTACAGCTACAAACGCCATCGTGATCACAGAAGAAGTGAAGGGGGGATTTATGACACAGGAGCCAATGGCCAGAGTCAGAACGTGTTAAATCCACCCTGGGAGGCAAAAAAAAATGACTTTCTGTTTGAAAACAGTGGGGAAATAAAGTCAGATTCATGGAGCTTTGCTAATTTGTTCTCAGGCTGTTACAGAGAAGAAGAGGGCTTTTACAGTTCAATAAAAGCCCTTCCAGCACTTGGGAAACTATAAATACTTAACACAATAAAAAGAGATAAAAGATGTTAGAGGTGTGTTTACACGGGTTGTGTTTGATGGGCTGAGATTTCAGAGGTGTGCTGCCTGTCTGCTCCTGCTGGGGAGACGGCATGTGACCCGACTGGCCTCTGACCCACGGCGGGTGGGGTGGGGCATCAGGTGAGGGTGGTGTTCAGTCAGGGAGGAGCATTATTCAGACGATTTTCAGGAAAATTGTTTTCATATAAAAACCTTTCAGAGAATGACGTTTAATCTGTTATATTTCTGCTCAGCATCTACACGAGGGCTGCTGTCACACTAACTTATTTTAAATCAGATTCAACTTAAATTATCTTTATAATATCAATAAAATAAACAATTTCTCATAAAAACTATCCACTTTTATTACTCTGGTTGGGCTTGATTAGGGGGCTGTGCAGTGGTGCAGTGGGTAGAGCTGTTGCCTTGCAGCAAGAAGGTTCTGGGTTCGCTTCCCGGCCTGGGGTCTTTCTGCATGGAGTTTGCATGTTCTCCCTGTGCATGCGTGGTCTGTCTAAATCGTCCTTAGTTGTGAGTGTGAGTGTGTGTGTGATTGTTTGTCCTGTGTGTCTCTGTGTTGCCCTGCGATGGACTGGCTCTCTGTCCGGGGTGTACCCCGCCTGATTGCCCGTTGACCGCTGGAGATAGGCACCAGCCCCCCACCCCCGCGCGACCCCACATGGACAATGGATGGTTGGACTTGATTAGGAAAGCCACACGCCTGTCTATATAAGACCTTACAGCTCACCATGATGTCAGAGCGAATGAGAATCCTGCCTGAAGAGAGACAACTGTAGCAAGGCACAGATCTGGCCAAGGTCACAAAAACGTCTCTGCTGGACTAAAGGGTCCTAAGAGCGCAGTGACCTCCATAATCCTTAAATGGCAGCCGTTTGGGACGACCAGAACTCTTCCTAGAGCCGTCCATCTGGCCAAACTGAGCTACCGGGGGCAGAAAGCCTTGGTGAGAGAGATAAAGAAGAACCCAAAGATCACTGTGTCTGAGCTCCAGAGATGCAGTCAGGAGATGAGAGAAAGTTGTAGAAAGTCAACCATCCCTGAAGCCCTCCACCAGTCAGGGCTTTATGACAGAGCCGCCTGTCGGAAGCCTCTCCTCAGAGCAAGACACGAAAGCCTGCGTGGAGTTTGCTTAAAGACACCTGAAGGACCCTGAGATGGTGAGAAATAAGAGTCTCTGGTCTGATGAGACCAAGATAAAACTTTTGGCCTTAATTCTAAGCGGTATATCATCACTTGTCCAATACAGTCCCCACAGTGAAGCATGGCGGTGGCAGCATCATGCTGTAGGGGTGTATTTCAGCTGCAGGGACAGGACGACTGGTTGCAATCGAGGGAACGAAGAGTGTTCCAAGTACAGGGGTATCCTGGACAAGAATCTTCTCCAGAGTGCTCAGGACCTCCGACTGGGCCGAAGGTTTACCGTCCAACATGACAACGACCCTATGCACACGGCTAAAATAACGAAGGAGTGGCTTCACGGCAGCTCTGTGACCGTTCTTGAATGGCCCAGCCAGAGCCGGCCTGAGGATCCCCAAACCCAGGTGTAAGAGACTTGTTGCATCTCTACCAAGAAGACTCGTGGCTGTTAGCTCAAAGGTGCTTCCACTAAATCCTGAGTAAAGGGTCTGAATACTTAGGACCATGTGATGTTTCAGTTCGTCTTTAATAAATCTGCAGAAATGTCTAAATTCAGTGTTTTCTGTCATTGTGGGCGCTGTTTGTGCATTAATGAGGAAAATTTTAATTTAACCGATTTTAGCAAACGGCTGCAATCTAACAAAGAGGGAATACTTTCCATACCCACTGTATTTTAAAATCCTTTTTAGTTACTAAATCACTTTTACAGATATGGGGCAGTCATTCAAATATTAAAAATGATGTTTTTAGATAAGTGACTTTAAATAAGTTCAACAGGTTTTCTGCTGATTAACTTGTTTTAAAGCTTCTTCTGTCACTGGCCCAGAAAAAACAAACATACATAAACATTTTCTATATATGGAATAAAAATGACAAAAATAGCAAACCAACATGAAAAAAAACCCAAAAAAGTGAATAAAAAACAAATTAATTGCAAATGAACCTTCAGAAAGCTGACAATTGATTTAGTAAATTAATACATAATAGCATAAAGACGTTATTAAAAGGAAACTGTGAAGGTATTGCTGTCATTAAATATGTTTCCACATTTAATTTGGTCCTAATAGGAATTTGCTTTTCACTGAAACTTTACTCAGTGTGAGAAAAAAAACTCATAGAAATTTCTTTTTAGGGTCAAAACACAGAAAAATATTTAAATAGGAGCTATAATAACCAATAATAGATGGTTATAATGCTTTTGAACCGAATATTAACACAAGTCCCAGAGTCATCATCACACACTGGTGAAACTACGTCTCCGCATGTGGCCCATCCCCGTGGGGAGCGCTGAACTGCAGCAGTTAGTCTTTGGCATGACCCGACCGGATTTGGACCCCGATCTTCCAGTCTCAGGAAGGACACTCCACCACTAGACCACCAAGATTTTATAAGACTTTATCAAATAGTCGTGCTCAGAACATCAAAGATGTATATTTTTCACAAGTGGAATTTCAAAAGTCTCAAAAACAAACAAATATTTAGATTTTTTTCATGTTTTTATTTCATCGTTTTGTGTTCTGATATCAAAAGTTGTGATTTAGAGCACTGGTAGGTCATGGTTGTTGTATCAGGCCGCTGCTGGGGTCGAGATGTGTGAAGCTCAACCAGTAAACACAAAGTGGTTTCGCAACATGCTGACTGTGCTGATGTGTGGCCAAAGATCAGAAAGAAGTTTGCATAAAACCTGCGGGCTGGTGTCCCGGACGGGATCTGAAGGGTGGCGATGCGGGACGGTCCTTGTCCACAAGAGGCGGCGTGTCCTCAGCATTTATTTCTGCTCAGAGCCAACAAGACTCAGCCTAGATGTTCTGTCTGCTAGTGAGGGGAGAGGGAAATAACACCAGCCCACTGGGTCTCACACACACACAGCTGCTGAGTTTGTGGTTCTGTGTCAAAGATAACTTATGAAGAGTCATCAGATATGGCTGAGGACACAGCTGGAAACGGGCGGCCTGTTCCTGAGCGCGTGATGCGCCTAAACCCTCTCACAGGTGTCAGAACGAAACTCTGAGTTGAGGTTCAAGACGGAGAACGCCACATGGAGCGATCCGAGGCCACCGATGAGAGTCGTCAAGGCAGAGTCAAAGTCTCACAACTTTATTAACCGTTAATGCATTACACAGCATTTACATCCCAAACCAGGGCCTCTAGGCATGACACACACACACACACGCACACACACACACACGCACGCACACGCACACGCACACGCACACGCACACGCACACGCACACACACACACACACACACACACACACACACACACACACACACACACACACCTTACTCCTGAAATGCAGAACTACTAAACGGCACTTGAGTGTTATGAAATGACATTGCGACCATAAAAAACATCAGATTTACAAACAGAAACGTCGTTCGTGAACGCGGCAGGAGAAACACAAGGTCTGGCTTCAGTTTTTCTCTCTTAAATGAAATGATCGTTTTCAAGATTGTACCACAATTTGTTTTGAAATGCACAAAATCAACAGATCCTGTTCTGATTTTAGTCTCGCCACCAGATAAATGCACAAGTGTCTCGCCACCATCACATCACTACACTTAACACAGCCATTAGATCGTTACACAAGTGTTTAGTACAGCAGCACACTAGAAAACATACCGATGACATCACTTGGCAAACTCATGGGGAATGGTGGCGTTTCTGAAAAACAACACAAGTTAATGGTCTGACTAGTGGGACCTGCACACTGCAGGACTCACCATGGATCGATACAAGTCTCCCTCCATCCCTAAAAGGGAAAATAAAAGTCTAGAGCTTTCCTGTGGCGGCATAAGGCTGAGCAGTCAGACACGAGCCACCTGATCGTAGCACCAGGAATAAATAGTCTCAAATTAGAACGGACCAGGAAGCGCCGAGATTATACTGCAGGCCCATTCGGACTCTGGGGTTGAGGTGCGATGACGTGGCTGTGTGTTCAGCTCAGCAGCACCAGGGGAAGCCCTGTTATGATCTGCAGGGTGTGCCTTATTAGTCTTATCTAGCTTTCACACATGCTTCATGCTGGGGCTCCACAGCAGGGGCCCCCTAGCCGGGCCCCTGGCAGTAAACAAGGGGTATTCCAGACCAGGCCGGGCCAATCACAGAGGAGAATCTGTAAATGGAACATCTGAGGTCCAGAGAAAGGGTCGTCACATCTTCGTCAGGGTTCAGCGACTTCAAGTCAGCACAAAGATACTGAAACTTAAAAATAAATAAAAGTAGCTGAAGCCTCCATAAAAAACAGCTAAATGATCAGCGTAAACACCCCCCACCCCCGTAATGACTGCTGCAGCAATCACACCAGCACGGTCAGGAAAAACAACAACAACAAAACACTAAAATAGCAAAGGAATGAATATGCTTCGTATCATCCCTTTAGAGCATCTCTAACATGTAGAAGCTGAAGCAGAGTCATCAGGCGCTCAGTTGAAATCCCTGTTGGGGAAGATAAGAGGGGCTAAGAGGGTCCAGAGGTAGAGGCCCAGGCCCAGCCAGCTCGAGCTCATCTTCACCCACACGGCTGGCATGCTGCTCTGCATGACCTGCATGGTGGTGTCGGGTCTGAGAGAGGGGGAAAACACGCACGCACGCACACACGCACACACGCACACACGCACACACGCACACACACGCACACACACACACACACACACACACACACACACACACACACACACACACACACACACACACACACACACACACACACACACACACACACACACACACACACACACACACACACACACACACACACACACACACACTTAGAACAAGCCACTGACTTTATCAAAACTTACAAATCTCTGCTCTGAAACCATTCAGTTAACCACAGCGCCCTCTGGTGGCCACACTGGAAACCAGACAACAAAAATGTACATTTTAAATTTTCACGAGACAGACGCATTTGTTTGCAGATTATAAACTGAATAGGCTTAATTGTCACATATTCTAGTCAGAACTGACAAACCTCCTCGGATGAGAAGTGAAACATCTTCAAGAAACCAAAGAAGAGCAGATGCCTTCATCTGAACGGTTTTGGGTTGTGTGTTGACGTTTGTTTACTCTACCTAGTCTCCTGAGACAGAGAGACTCGAGGAGAACATTCCAGGTTCATGCATGGTCTCTGGGTGACAGATACTTACTCGTACCAGTTGGTCAGCGTCATCATGATGTACAGAGAGGCCAAACAGAGGTGGAAGTGGAAGAAGGAGTAGCTGTAAGAGACTCCCTCCTCCTCGTTGTCCACGGCCCTACGAATCCCATCTTCTCCCACCACTCCCTCTCCACCAGAGCCTCTGCCCTCCTCTGTCTGCATCAGCTTGTTGACCTGGGTGTTGGTGGATGAGCGGATGCTAAAAAACAGACGAGGTGGAGGAAAAAAGAAGTAAACAAAAACTGACGAAAACAGGATGACCTGGTGGCTGCGACGCAGCGACGGTTACCTGGCGTAGAGAGTACAGAAGAGAAAGATGATCAACCCAACAACGCCCTGGGCGTCCCACCACTGCACCTGTCCTGGGTTACTGTCAGCTGGAGACTGGGTGGTGCTGATGTTTGAGACTAGACTCAACAAGCTGGGGTTGCAGTTCCGATCTACATGAAACGAACAGCGAGAAGAAATAAAACCAGAAAAGGTTATTCATCCCTCCTCCGGGCGACAACGGCACATTTATGGAACTAAAATCTAAATGGAGGTATTGTTGAGTAAGCTGGTGATTAACACCTTCACATTCATCCCATTCAGACCAAAAAGGTTTAAAATAACGATAAAGATCTGTCTTAAGACTCAGAGTTGTTACCATTTACCACAACTTTTTTATGTACTGTTAGTCCGTAGAAAACCTAAATATCCTTGTTTGAACTTTAACCGAGCCTTGCCACCGCACGCACGGGCGCCGTTAGAGGGGATGGGTGCGTTTCCACTGGCAGCAAAGCGCCCGGAATCATCCCAGAAGCATAGCGATGCGTCGCGTGAGCTTCACGTCTATACGCGCTACACTTCCAGAGAGCAGTTTTAGTTTCTGCAACTTTTTTCCCTTTGATCAATCAAATTAGATCAGGAAAAAGCTTCAGATGATGCCTGAAAAGCAACTTTTTGTGTGAATGTGCACAGAAACCAAAACTACTCTCATAGAACTCGTAAATCTAGTCAAAGTCGGGCTAAAGAAAAACAAGCTAGCTTGGTTCCACTTGCTCCATCGTCCACGGGTTGGACGTCTAATGAACGTCTGACCTGAACGGGTTAGAGCAGGGGTGGGGACAGCTGGTCCACAAGGGTCGGTATTCAGCGTGTTTCAGTTGTCTCCCTGCTCCAACACTCCTGATTCAGTGTTTGAGTCACCCGTTCAGCCACTCATCCGCTCTGCAGAACTCAGGTGTGTTGAAGCAGGGAAACAATTAAAACATTTAGTATGGCTGCTCTAGAGCGAAACCCCCCCCCCCCCCCCCCCCGGGTAAAGACAACTGAACCTACAGGTGAGGCTCTAAAAACTAGAATATGGTGCAAAAATTCTTTTATTTCAGTAATTCAACTCAAAAGGTGACACTAATCGATGTGACAGACTCGTTAAACACAAATCCAGATATTTCGGCCTTTATTTGCTATAACTGTGCTGATTGTGGCTTACAGCTGATGAAAGTTATAATATTGTGAAAAGGTTCAATATTCTAAGTGTCACACTCTGATCAGCAGAAGAATCCAGAATCACCGCAGCCTGAGCCTTTAGATGGTCTCTCAGTCTGAGCTGAACTAATGAAATAAATGGACTTTTGCACCTTTTTTTCATTTCACCTGTAACATCATCTCAACATGATCATTTCTGTCATTTACTGAGATCAGGAGGATCTAACAGGAAGCTACAAGCTAGATGTGCTAAAATGAACCAAAACAGAACTAAAACTCACCTTTATGACCAAAAAGCTGCAGCGGATTAACCAGACGAGTAACAATGGAGATGAAGGAGTGAAGGTAATCATAACAGAGATGAGACATAACACAACAAGAGCTCACTCACTCGGGTTGTTGGTCATTGCAGACCAGGTGACATACATGGTGTAGAGGGAGATAAGTGAGGCCTGCAGCAGACCCGAGTGCGGCTGAGCCTCCTGTAAACAAAACAACACGTTATAACCAAAACAATCTCTAGTGAGGTCTGCCGGCTTTGAAACCAAACTTTAAACTGAAGAAGCTTTGTCAGAAAGTCACTTTCCTGATGCCAGAACTAACCTGTGAGAACGCCCGAAGGACACGTTTACCTGTATCTTTGGTAAGATGGAGACAATGGAGATGATGATGCAGAAGACAAGGTTAAGGCTGATGAAGACTTTGTGCTCGACGCAGTCGTCCGGTTGTGTGTAGTAAACGTAGAAAAGCACCACCGCAGCGAAGGCCAGTGCATAGAAGAGGACGGTGAAGGTCAACAGCCCTGAAATAAAACAAATGTAAGCGGTCATTCAGAACAAAGTGACACAGGAGAGGAAAACTGGGCCTCGTTATCAGAATGAGAAAAACTTTATTTATCCCCAAAGGGCAATTAAAACCAGAGCAGCATGATGTTGGACATACAAACATTGAATAAATAGGCAATAAGGAAGTAATAAAGCAGCAAGAAGATGGATAAAACAGTAGAACATGCAAAAAAATCACTGAGTAAGTGAATAAAGTGACTAAAGTGTCGTCTGTATAAAAGTTAAATATATGGAGAGCCCAAGGAGAGGGTTTATCGGGGGATGGTCTTATCTTATCTGCTGGAGTTAAAGAGCAGAATGGCTTTGGGGACAAAGGTGGCTCTCCTCCTCTCAAGCCCCCTTCAGACAGGCCATGAAAAACGGAAATGTTCCGGAATCTGTCCGTAAGACCTTTCTGTCTGAATACAAACATCCGGATAACATGTTCCGAAATTTATCCGGACGAAGCCCCTTGTAACAAGTCCGGACTTGTTACGAACAGGGTGACTGCTTCAGACTGGTGAGGTAAAGTTCCGGACAAGAGGGAGGGAGAGGAGGAGGGGACCGGGGGACGCCGTGCGCACCCAGATAGCCCGCTGCTGTAGCATGCGGTGAACCACGGCAGCTTGCCTCCTACGGTACCGCCTAGACGTGCGACGGAGCGCTTCACACCGCTTCAGTGATTCCTTTAACCATTGAGCTTCATCATCCAGGTCTCTTATGCGTCTTCGTGTGCGCAGAATTATGCTTAAGCGCCTCGTGATTTTTATCTTGAGAGGCGCTATAGAAATGATATTTTCTTCTTCTTCTTCTTAACATAAGTCCGATTCCCACCCCACCCCACCCCCCGCAGCCGTCAGACATCTGGAACTTTTCCCTGCTGTGTGAACGCAGCCGAAAGGACAAGTTCCGGTACAAAAGTGGTGTGTCTGAAAACACAGTTCCGGTTAAAAACCGGATTGAATTGTCCGCAAATGTTCCAGAATGTCTGTCTGAAAAGGGCTTAAGTCTTGCAGGAAATGCAGCGTAGGCGTCGCCCAGAGGGGAGCCATTGAAATGCGGGGTGAAGAATGTGAGAGGGGTTGTGGAGGATTTGGGCTGCCTGTCTCAGGGCTTGTTGATAGAAAACCTGAGCAAGAGTTCTGACAGGCAGGCCAACGATTTTGGAGCACACTGATGCAGTGTGCTGCAGTCTGTTCCTGTTCTGGAGGCTAAGGGAGTAGAACCAGCAAGTGATGGAGAAGGTCATGATGCTTTCCAGGAAGGCACAGTAAAAAGTCATCATGACTGAGGAGCTGACTCCAAAGGAGTTGAGCTTCCTAAAGCCAGGCGTACACTGTGTGACTTTTTCACTCGTAGCACTCAGCTTCAGCTCAAACTGTACGACTTCCTCGCAGAGCAGATCTCACGAGTCATGTGCTCGCACTGCACGACCCGGTTCTCGGATGCGACCTGACTGCTCACACTGTACGTCTGGTAGCAACACGTCGGACCTAAAATATGCTAAAAATAGCAGTTTTTACACAGCACATCAGACTTTTTTGTCTTGTTTTGTCTGTTGTCCTTCGGGAGTGCTGCAGGAGGACACACAGGGATTTATGGAGGTTGGATGAGGAAAACAAAATAAAGAAAGTAAATCTGTGTTTAGTGATCAGTTTAATTTGACATGAACACGACAAACACACTTTCTTGACAATCCTTGTGGGTAAAAAAACGTTTAGAAATAAAAACAAACAGCGTGTGTTATTAGGGAAATAGCGGGCGAGTGGTGTTGATGCATGATTGCGCATGCGCCGTGAGCGGTTCTGATACTTTTTGGGTCGCAGCTGCTCGCAGCGCCGCTTCAACAGTGCGATACCCTCACGAGGGACGAGCAAAATATTAAACATGCCAGAAGTCCGTGCGACCTCACGACTGCTGATCGGTAGCTGGTCACGTGGTGTTAATCGCCTCTCGTAATCCCCGTACACTACACGACGCTCGGAGCAAAACTCACCCCGATCTCGTGGATTCTCGCACGACTAGAAAATCGGCTCAAAAAAGTGAAAAAGTCGCAAAGTGTACGCCTGGCTTAAGGAGATATAGCCATTGATGGCACTTTCTGAGAATCTCCTCTGTGTTAGCAGAGAATTTCAGGAGTTTGTCAAAGGTGGTTCCCAGATACTTGTACTCCTCCACTACCTCCACTGGGTTCCCACGTTATAAACGTCTGTTATGAGGAAGACGTCTTACCTGCGTACCAGCATTTGTTACTGCTTTCCTCAGCGTTTCCCACCCAGATCTTGTTCCAGGAGTGGGCGAAGTCGATCAGGAGGACCAGCTGGATCAGGATGAAGGCGAAGGATCCAACGATGCCAAAGTAAAACCACACTGTCCCGTGCAGAAGGAAAAACACAGATTTAATATTAATGTCTAAAACAATTAGCAACTAATTATTATTCAGAGTTTGAGTCGTGTGTGGGGGTGTCAGGCTTTTCCCAGCAGTTTTCAGAGGCGTTGCTTTCTGATGAAGCTCAAAAACACAGATTAGTAACATTCAAAAGTCTGAGATGCATAAAATGTACTTTTAAATGTAGAACTTGTAAAAATGGTGCGGACAAACACGGGGCCTCCTCAGCAGCAAGAAGCCGCTCCACACACAAAATAAATCAAATATCAGCGTAGGGGCGAGGCGTTCGAGTCACACATTCCTTCTTATTCGGTATTTATTATGCATTAGAGGGCGACCGATGTTGCATTTTCTATTGCCGACACAAATGTGCAGGGGTCATGGTCAGCCGATGGCCATTTTTCATGGCTGACATCGAGACGTTTCCACCTTCATGCTAAAATGTCACAGATAACATCAGTCGATGCACATTTCAGAAGTTGAACCAGTTCTTGAACATGAAATTGAACCAAATGTTAAATCCTAATTTATGCACTCCTCAGTGTTAAAACCAGACATAACTAATCAAACTAATCAGTAAACTGACCAAGTACTAAATATTCAGAACTGAAACGTGAAAATTTCAGTCGATAATAACTTTAGAGCATTTGTTATGCAGATGTTGTTCAGGAACGTAAATATTCATGTAAATGAAATTCTGCAGAAGCATTGGGCTGCCCGTGGATGTGCCTGTCCATAAATCGGCTTTACTGAGGCCCGAAGACGATTTATAAAATATTGTAAAAATCGTGCATCTACCCCTAATTTGTTTAATATAAAGGTTTTGGTGAAAAAATGTCTATTTCTTTGACATTCAAGCTAATTTTAATGACAGAATTGTGCAGGGAACATTAGGACTGTGATGCTGACCACCAAACACGACTCAAGTCCTTTTCTAACTCTACAGAGATGTTTGTACCAGTATTAAACGTTCCATCTGGGATGAAGAAAGCTCCCACCGTGATCCCAACCAGGATAAGGAATTTAAAGAACCAGAATCTGGAGAACAAAGGAGATCCATCCACACAGTAGATAAAAGTGATGTTATAAAACTAAACTTCACTACTAAATGGTTTAAATTACAAACCAGACAGAAATCTCACCCATTCTGGACAGATGCACGTGGGTCTTTGCTGGAACGGACACGAATCATGATGGCAGCAAACAAAAAGAAGAAGCAGGCCATGGCAAAGCACATCCGATACACTGACTTATAGCCCACGATGATCTCACAGTTGACCTGGTTTTCAACACCAATTACAGTAGCTCCTCCCTTGCAAAACCCTGGGATCTATGACAGTGAACAAAGTTAAGTAAATAAGCTAATCAGGGTCGTATGTGAAGACTCGTATAATTTCCGGTTTGCTGCATATTTAAATATAATAATAAGTATGAGCTATACAGTAGGCAAGAACTGTAAACAGATCCAGCAGTTTAACAAATACTTGGAAACAGTAACACGATGCGCTTATCATCTAACTTTGCGTAGCTGCGTCTCCATTCCAGGAAGGATCATGATGACAGACACCATCGTTCCCATCAGCAGGAAGAAAGAGAAAACCAGTCGTGTGATTGTGGAGTTGTTGGATGAGGGGCAGCAGCCACACAAAAGGCATGGTGCTGAGCCACACAGACAGGAGGCCTGAGAGCGATGAGAAAAGCACAAGCATGGTGGTTTTTACTCTCCGAGTCAACTGTAAACACCAAAACAACTAACCATAACAGGTTGTGTTTGAAGGGAAAGCTGAGGCACTGAATGGAGATTTTCCAGGAGAGCTAAAGACGAGGTCCGTTTGGATCAGTTTGGTGTAAAATCTACAAAAATTGGTTTAATAAACCAAAACTATAATCAATTGATTATTTAATTTTATCAAAGGACAAAACATACCAAAGGTTAATTAGTGACAAGCGTCACACACACCCTCCACATGGGACATGTTTCTAAACTGCATGTTGTCCAAATGTCCGATACACACTTCCGGGGTTATTTATTATAAAAAGCGAACTTTCCCCACGAGTTAAAATCGTTGAAGTTCGCTGCGACACTGACCGCTACTGGCGATCCTTCCTGCCAACAGCCATTGTAATGTACAATAACTCTTTGATGACTTTGATTATTATTATTATTATTATTATTCTGAGCTACTACAGCAATCAGTTTCCCTCTGGGATTAATAAAGTATTTTGGAATTGAACTGAAATTAAATTAAACCCAGACACATACAACAAATACAGCTGAAATGTGAATTTAACTTGTTTTAACATGTAATAAAGAGCTACGTTAGCCCTAGCTTGGGTGTTTCAATAACCACACGAAGGTAACGAGTAATAACAGTTTAAAAGAACAATAGAAGTACTTACACAGCTTGCTAAAGAGCACAACGCCAGACAAGCCCCCATTTTAGGAGAATTTATTGACGTGAGTGACTACTTCCTTAGTCCTGTGAAAACAGAGCGTCATTTCCGCCCTTTATGGTCACGCCCATCTACTTCCGGATCATGAAAAATGAATGCCAATTTATAAAAACAATGTTTTAATCCCGTTTTAAATGTGTTATGGATTTCACATAAGATCTCCGTACATTTTAAAAACACATTTTGATGCAAAGTAAGTGGATCTTTTCAAACGGCTGCAAAGGTTATTTTAGGTTTTGTGTGGAAAAAACTGCAAATGCCTCTCACCATATCGATGTAATGATGTAATCAAGTAGCCAAGTAAGCAAGCCGTATTATAGAACATGCCAAAATGTTTCTAACCAAAATGCCAGCGTTGCAGGTGCATTATTGACTGCACATAAATCTTTATTAACAGACCCACAGTTTTAACAGCCAGGGCACAAACTTATTCAAATGACAAGAGCCATAAGTTCCTGACATCAACATCGACATTAATAGTCGAAATAATAATTAATTCCTGAAAGCACAGTTACATTCCTGTCTGCAGGCTGGGGTGGGCGTGTCTCAGATAAACAACTCATAGCTGAGTCTGGATTTTACGACCTTCTACAGGTTAATGATCAGAAACTAGCAGATCGTGGTTTTACCGTCAGAGATGAGCTTGCCTTGCATGGTGCTACTCTGAGGTTCCCTCACTTTACCAAAGGAAAAAAGCAGCTACAGGAAGTAGAAACATCACGGTGCTTGTCCAATGATGAACACATATTGAGAGAGATGGAAAACTTTCAAGATTCTTTCGACCGCGACTCCACTTTCACAGGTAGATCTGTTAGCTGACGATGTTATTGTGTGTGCTGCATTCACTAACATTTGCAAATGTACAGCTCCAAAAAAATAAACCAAGAACTTTGACAAATATTTAACAGCCAGTGATGCATTAAAAACTTTTAATTTGTGTTTGTAAACAGTATCAGTTGCAGCATTAGGCACTGACTACATATAAATTAAATTATCAATGAGATGTGATATTCCAAATAAAAATGAAATATCAATCTGATTGGTCTTTGAATGGCATTTGTTTACTTCAGAAATGTCACTATGTTTTACTTGTTCCATTGAACTATTCATTCATTCATTCAGTGCACCTGCAGCAGGTGACTAGAGTCTAGCAGGTCTAACAGGTGTGATGTACTGCTGGAAAAGTGTAGAGGAGCAGGAGGAAACAAAGAGGAAAACGGGGGACCAGAAATGACAGATTTATTTTGTTGTTTTGTTTTTTTGTGCAGGTGGAGGAACTTATTTGGTGTCATCCCGTTTGGAGTATTGTAACAGCTTGTTTTCAGAACAAGAAAGGGCTCCATAATCTGAAATGAGTGCAGAACTGTGCAGCGAAAATCCTGAACACACACACATAGCAGGTCTCACTCACACATCCCCCACCCTAGAGGAACTTCACTGGCTGCCTGTGGCTTTTAGGTTTAAGTTTAAGATTTTAGTCCTGGGTTTCAGAGCCCTGCGTGGACAGCTTCCCTCTTACACCAGAGATCTGATCAAACCCTACACTCTGCGTGGGCTCTGAGAGTGTAGGGATCTTAATTTGCTTAGAGTTCCTCGCTCGTACGTTCACACTAGAGGTGATAATCCTTCGAAGCTGTAGCTCCTAGGCTCTGGAATGATCTAACCTATGATTTGCATTCAACCCTCCCGCTGTCTTCATGGTTGACCCCGTGAGGAAAGTTGACCATTGAGCAGGATTGATGGTTTATCCCTTGAGGTACAAGTGGCAGGAGTGAGGTGGTGCTCACTCCTCACCCCTGCCACTTGTACCTCAAGGGATAAACCATCAATCCTGCTCAATGGCCAACTTTCCTCGCGGGGTCATTAAGACAGTGGGAGGGTTAGCTAACTCTGTCAACAAATTCAAGAGCAAATTTAAGACTCATTTATTTGTTCAGGCATTTATCTAATTTATTGTGGGCAGTTATGTTTTCTGTGTGGTCTCTGCTCTTTCAAGATTTAATTCATTGTTTATTTATTTTTTAAGTTTTTACAATGTTGTGAAGCACTTTGTGGCTTGTGCCTGTGAAAGGGGCTGTACAAAGAAAGCTTACTAACTTACTCCTTTGGCAGATTTCTTTTATTACTTAAAACAAGAAATTAGGATCATGTTTAAAAGTTAATATTGAATTTACGTCCCTGTTTTGATTCCGCCTGCTGGTCGGGTTAAAGTGTTGCACTTGAATGTGCACTGCTCAAATACTTTCTATGTTCAACTGCACGTAACCATGTGAGCAACAGTTCACTTAGATGAAACTGAACAAAACTACAGAGGAGTCGTCTCAATGACGAACACCTTCCTCATCTCAGAGCCTAACCTGAATTAGAGGGAGAGGTGGTCTACACCCGAAACCAGCGTTGGATCTTTATTCTCCTGCATTCTTCTGAAGCAGCATCTTCGTCCGCTCTCCTGCTGTTAGCTAAACACGGCTAACCACTTCTGGATCATCGATCAGCTGTGGCTGACTCACCGTGTGTTGTTCACCATCTGGATCATCTGGACAGCATGGATACAGGTGTGTGTGTGTGTGTGTGTGTGTACAAGTATTAAAATGATTCATGAACAATATACAAATAACTTAAATTCCTATCAAAAATAAAAAAAAATATATCCCAACAAATTATTAAAATATAACAATGAAAAAAGTCCTCCGCCCCTCCTGTGGTGGCTGGTCCACAGTGGCTATTCTGAGACGACATTAACAATCATCGAGGTGCTGTTTCTGAATCAGCTTCAGCTTCAGTCCATCCTCCTCACCTCTCATCTTCGGCGCCTCCACCGTTGCCACTGTCGCCTACGGCTCATCCATCTGGTGGCGGGTCCACAGCAGCTAGGTTCTGCCACAACATGGAAGACCCCTGATTAAATGTAACTATCTGGCTATTCTGACTATCAGCCATTATCAACAACCTGACCTACCAGTTTTTTATGTCGCTTCCACCGTTGCAGCTATTGCCACCTGTGTTTGAGTTATCCTCTGCCTATGACTGAGAATCAACAGTCAGCCATTAGTAATCAACCAACTGTTTCTAGGTCACCCAGTGTCCCTTCCCCTTGCTCACCCTTTCCATTTGGCCCAGGGATGCTTCGGTCTCGGCTTGGTCGACCGTGAGTCGGGACCCAGGACCCTTCATGGGCTTGACTCTCTGCCGCTGTGTCACGCCCACCGAAAAGTCTTGAATTTCACCTGCAGGAACCCTGTTTGGGGTAGGCCCAGGGGGTTACTGCCAAGTGTGCATCTTTATGTTCCTGTATGCATGTGGTTATACCGTCTGATCAAATCGGATTAATCTAGAGCCTATTAAATAAGAGGGGAGCTTTATAAGCTAGAGCTTCATCACACACCCTTTGATGTTCTGAATAGCTATTGTTCATTTTTTATATGTATTTTATTTGTACTATTTTTACTATTTCCGTGGACTAAAGTTTTGTCTCAAGAAAAATTTTAACAAACGGTCACATGAGAGTCCACACAAAATGTAAAGAATTCATCTGACCACAAGAGCACCAAAAGGGACCCTTAGTTTTTCATACAGGCAGGCAGGTCCATAAATATTGGGACATCGACACATTCCTAACATTTTTGGCTCTATACACCACTACAATAGATATGAAATGAAACAATTATGATGTGCTTTAACTGCAGACTCTCAGCTTAAATTTTAGGGTATTTACATCCAAATCAGGTAAACAGTGTAGGAATTACAACAGTTTGCATATGTGCCTCCCACTTGTTAAGGGACCAAAAGCAATGGGACAGAATAATGATCATAATTCAAACCTTCATTTTTAATAGTTGGTTGTAAATCCTTTGTAGCATATTACTGGCTGAAGCATGGAATGCACAGACATCACCAGATGCTGAGTTTTTATCCCCAGTGATGCTCTGCAAGGCCTCTACTGCAACTGGCTCTCTGATGTCACACGGGCTTGCAGGCGGGCGTGTAGATCCTCTGAGAGAAAGTGGAAAAAGGATGGCCTACAGGTCTCGCGTGAGTTGTTCAGAGCATCTCTGGTTGCTTATCAGGATGCTGTGAGGGCTGCCAGAACGGCCTATTTTGCAGACATCATTGAGACAAACTCCAATAATCCTAAGATTCTCTACAAAACGCTAAACTCAGTTCTGGTGTATCAGGAGCCTAGCTCCATGTCTCCTACAGCTGCTGGAAACTCTGAAGCTTTTCACAGATTCTTTGTAGATAAAGTGTCGGGCATTAGAGCAGCTATTTCTGGTAACTCTGTTGACCCTGTTCCAGTTCCTCCATCACCACCCACCCTGAGCTCCCTCAGTACTGTTTCATACTCCGAGCTGAATAAGCTTGTTGCGAGGCAGAAGCCATCTGGCTCTCCACTTGATGTTCTGCCGCCTCGTCTCTGGAAGGCTGCCTTTCCGTGCCTTGGCCCTTCACTTGGTCAGATTATCAATGGGAGCCTCAGCACAGGTGTGGTCCCAGCTGCTTTGAAAGCAGCAGTTATTCGGCCGACCCTGAAGAAACCTGGTGCTGATGTCTCTGTGATCGAAAATTACAGGCCTATCTCAACCCTGCCTTTTACATCTAAACTGCTTGAGAAAGTCGTTTATCAGCAGCTGGTCTCACATTTAGCTGACTCTGATCTGTTTGAGGTTTTCCAATCAGGGTTCAGGTGTGGCCATAGCACAGAGTCAGCTCTACTGAGGGTCTTAAATGATATCTATCACTAGATCAGGGTACATCTGTGGTGCTTCTGTTGTTAGACCTGACAGCAGCCTTCGACACAGTTGACCACACGATTCTACTGGATCGCTTGGAACGATGGGTTGGGATCAAAGGGTCAGCTCTGGATTGGTTTAGATCGTATCTCCACAACAGGACATTGTGTTTTAAACTGGGTGATGTTTTTTCTTCTTGGGAGGGGCTCCGCTGGGGGGTCCCGCAGGGGTCGATCCTTGGTCCTCTTTTGTTTGCCATTTATCTGCTACCTCTGGGGTCAGTCTTTCGTAAACATGGCCTAGCGTTCCATCTCTATGCTGACGATTGCCAGATTTACTCTCCATTGTGTCAGGAGAAAGGTCACTCTATCCAGTCCTTTGTGTCCTGTGTTAATGAGGTGAAGTCTTGGCTATGGCAAACTATCTACATCTGAATGAGGGAAAGACAGAGCTCATTGTTTTTCACCCCAACAGCAGGAATGTGGATCGTTATGTTGATCTTGGCCCTCTTTCTCCATACTCAAAACCAGTTGTTACCAGTTTGGGGGTGAAACTTGATGCAGGACTTAAATTTGTTGCTCACATCAATTCTGTGATCCGGTCCAGTGTCTTTCACCTGAGATGCCTTGCAAAAATCAAGCATATGCTGTCGAGAGCCCACCTGGAGCGGGTACTGCATGCCTTTGTTATTTCTAGGCTTGACTACTGCAACTCTCTATATGCAGGGTTGTGTCAGTCATCACTGCGTCGCCTACAGGTTGTGCAGAACAGCGCCGCCAGGTTCCTGACTGGGACCAGGAAACGGGACCACATCAGTCCGGTTCTGGCCTCCCTGCACTGGCTTCCGATTTGCTATTGTGCACAATTCAAAATCCTCGTCTTTGTTTATCATTTCTTCCAGGGTGGTGGTCCCCCCTATCTGGCTACTCTCCTGAACAAACATTCCCCATCACGTGCTCTGCGCTCCTCTGACCAAGGCCTGCTCGCTGTCCCTCGTTCTAGGTGTCGTACCCGTGGGGACCGGGCTTTCTCAGTCCTAGCACCGTCACTCTGGAACCAGTTGCCACCCTCAGTTAGGCTGTCCCCATCTCTGCCAGTCTTTAAGAATCACCTAAAAACACACCTCCTCCGCTTGGCGTTTCCAGAACATGTTTGATTTTGGCCCTCTTTTATGTTGAATTTATTTCACAGTTTTCATTGGTTCACTCAGTCCAAATGTGTTTCACACATTTGTCCTGTACCAGAATGTTTCATCTATCTTGTAATTTGTATTTTGTAATTTGAATTGCGTTTATTGTTGATTTATTCAATATATTTACCTACAACTGTACCTTGTTCAGCGCTTTTGGCTTCCTGACAGGATTGCGGAAGGCGCTTTATAAATAAAGCTTTGATTGATTGATTGATTGATTGATTGAACTGTCTTCAGTTCCTGCTTGTTCTTGGGGAATTTTCCCTTCAGTTTTGTCTTCAGCAAGTGAAATGCATGCTCAATCGGATTGAGGTCAGGTAATTGACTTGGCCATTGCATAACATTCCACTTATTTGCCTTAAAATCTCTTTGGTTGCTTTTGCAGTATGCTTTGGGTCATTGTCCATCTGCACCGTAAAGCATTGTCCAATGAGTTCTGAAGCATTTGGCTGAATATGAGCAGATAATACAGCCCAGAACACTTCAGAATTCATCCTGCTGCATTTGTCAGCAGTCACATCATCATTAAATACATCATTAGATACAAGAGAACCAGTTCCACTGGCAGCCATACATGCCCACACTGTAACACTACCACCGTGTTTCAGTGACGATGTTTAGGATCATGTGCAGTTCCTTTCCTTCTCCATACTGTTGGCTTCCCATCACTAGTACAAGTTGATCTTGGTCTCATCTGTCCATAGGATGTAGTTCCAGAACTGTGAAAGCTTGTTTCGACTATGTTTGGCAAACTGTAATCTGGCCTTCCTGTTTTTGAGGCTCACCAATGGTTTACATCTTGCGGTGAACCTTCTGTACGCACTCTGGTGGTCTTCTCTTGACTGTTGACTTTGACACACACACACACACACACACACACACACACACCTACTTCCTCGTGGTGGATATAGTCTCGGGTCATGTGGTGTCTATCGATTGTTATTTACCTGTTGCGTACCTGCGTGGGAAGGCTTTTATAATAAGCAGGTGATAGGGGAAGTCAACCTTTGCTGACCGCTCAAATGATTTTTGCATGAATTATTAGCTCTACTTTGTGGATCTGTTCGTTCATTTATTTATTTTGGTTGTGTGATGCTTGTGAACGGCAGATTGAAGGAAATGTTTTTGAACAACCAATAAAGTCGTTTTAATCGAAACCTGGACTGGAATGTTCTGAGGGTGCGTCAACACATCTCCTAATTAGCTGCTCGGCGATCCAATGTTTACAATCACCCACACTCCTGGAGTCTGGCCAACTATTACGAAGGGTGTTTTCTTCACCACGGAAACAATTAGTCAGTCATCCACCACAGTTGTTTTGCGTGGTCTTCCGGGTCTTTTGGTGCTGCTGAAACCTTCTGGTGTGTTCCTTCTTTTTGGGAATGTTCCAAAAAGTTGTTTTGGCCATGCCTAAAGCTTTTATTATCTCTCTGATGATGGGCTGAAAAATCCAAACAAACCCAACGATGGCATGCTCCACTGATGGTGACAGCTCTTTGAATCTCATCTTGAGCATTGATAGCAACAGATTCCAAATGCAAATGTCACGCCTGAAATTAACTCTGAACCTATCTGCACGCTATCACACACCTGACCATGGAACAGCTGAGAAGTCATTGTCTCATAACTTTTGGTCTTAACATGTGGGAGGCTGTCATCGTTTGGGAGTGACCACCACCATTGACGAAAACAAATGAAGACACAAATATACATGTCTGAAGGCTTCTGTGAGAATGTCCTATGGACATTTTTTATGTGCAGAACTGTCATCAAGACCAGTTTAAAACATTCCATAAAGGATTATTATGAAAAATAAATGGTCTCAAACAGTATAGCTGCTTTATTCCTTACTGAGAGTCTTGATTTTAATGCGATTTAAACTGAAACCTATCATTTGGAGTCACATTAAGAACTACTCTCCCATCTGCAGCATGCTGGCAGCATGTCGGACCTGCTTCCTCCTCTCCTCGCGCTCACTGTTGCAGCTCAGCTGCGATTGGCGGATTTGGACCAATCGGACACGACGTTGCTGGTGACGCACTCGAGTTGTGTGTTTGTGCGCGAAGGTGCAGATATTGGCGGTTCGAAGCGGACAGAGACAAAAAGGTAGATAAAGGTCTTCTGGTCGAGCTGAGCAGCACTTGACGGTGAGAACGATGCTTCCATACAATTACCGGACCGGGGACCGAGTCTGCTCGGTGACCGCTTGGCTTGTTGGTGGGTTAGGGACACGTTACTGGTTCTGCTCAAACTCATTGAAGTACTTACTAGTAAACAACAGATGGTTTATATGGCTGCTGCTCAGACAAAACCTTCCAGCTTAAAATAAGCAGAAAAAGTCTGTTTATATCGGTTAAAATCCTACATCCCGTTATTATCTTCCAAGTCGTGTGTTATAAAATTAGTTAACTAAAGATGTGGTGTATTTTAATGTTACTGTTATGCAATTTAATCCCACCACATCCACGTGGAATAGCATTATGTAAATGAGCAGTTTGGTTTCTATTTCCAGTCTAATCAGTTTATTTTGGTTTAAAATAACTCATCAGGTATGACTGTAGTACTCCTCCCCGCCATTTTGCAGAGGAAACCCAGCAGCAACGTGAGTCTCCAGCTGTGGGGGGTTTAGCTCCCCCCCCAGGGGTAATCCGTTACCCAAGACGCCCCTTTCTTTGTTCGGTGATCGTTTGCAGCTGTGAGTCCACGCCAGAACCAGGAAGAGGTGGTGAACATCCTTTGCTGGCAGATCTTGTTTTGACCTGTGAAAGCTGCTAAATAATGAGACGTTTTCTGTTATTTGCTGTTGAGGACGTTTGTGTGCACAAGAACGTATTTACAGCAAAATGTAAAAGTTCTGAGGTCAGAAAACTTAACTTTGGGCTTTGCATCTGATCACCTTTTCTGATTTTTGCAAGTTCAAAGATTAAAAATCTGTTATTTATATATATTTTTTATAAATCGCTAATTTTCTCAACAGTTGACTGTTTCAAAGTTAGAAAATCTAAAACGATTAAATGGATTAATTGTAGTGTTTATTTCCACATTTCAATCGTTTATTGGTCCAATAGTTAAAGTTGAGTCTGTGCGTTTGATTAGATTTTATTGCATCACATCTTTTTATCTTTATTCTTTGTGTTGGTGTTTATCCTAAATGTTTACGGTTGTATTTCTTTCTGCCGTTGCATCTCGTTGACCTTACCTGTGCCTTTATAAATACATAGTGATTTGATGCTTGCACATCTGTATATCAACACCCCCCCCCCCCCCCCCCTTATTTTTCTGCAGGAACATTAAATAAAACGTTGCTGCTGCAGACATGGAGAATTGTGGTACGTGTAAAGTATCCGTTTACATCAGTTTTACTGCAAATTGGTGTTTTTGATCTATTTCTAGACTTACACCGATCATTTGATTGATCAGCTGTTCATACACAAACATAACTGAACATAGCTGAGATGGTCCGTGACCCTTTAGTCCTCTCTAATACTTGGTTGTGGACTAAAGAAGTTTCCTGTTTCCAGACATTCAGGTGAAGGAGCTGAACAAGCGTGCATCAGGCCAGGCGTTCGAGGTCATCCTGAGCCCCTCCACCCCCGATGCTAAGGCGGACTTCCTGCTGTCCCCGAACAGGAAGAAGGAAACATCACTGGATGAGATTAAAAGAAAACTGGAAGCTGCAGAAGAAAGGCGCCGGGTATCTAGAGAATTCACTTCCTGGAAACAAATGCAGCTCACAGGTTTAGGACTTTCGCTCTAATGTAATTCCTTGTTTTGTCAGAGCCACGAGGCTGACGTACTGAAGCATCTGGCCGAGGCACGAGAGCACGAGAAGGAGGTCATCCAGAAGGCCATGGAGGAAAACAGCAACTTTAGCAAACTGGCACAAGAGAAGCTCAATCAGAAGATGGAGGCAAACAAAGAGAACCGCAGCGCCAGGATGGCGGCTCTCAACGAGAAGTTCAAGGAGAAGGTGAGCTCCTAATGATGTTCGTATCAACGCCGGGAAAACAAATATTACATTTATTTATGTTGTCGCAGGACAAGAAGCTTCAGGAAGTGAGGAAGAACAAGGAAGCCATCAAAGAACCTGAGAACTAATCTTCTTTCGTCATCTTCATCCATCTTACGTGTCCAAAGATAAGCTACAGTGTGAAAAGTTCCTCAGACCTTCACAGCATTCGTTGTGCTGTTTCTCTCATCAGTTAGTTTTCCTGTCCTAGTAGACTTCTGTCTGGCAGCTGGTAACGTTTTATCCTTTAGTAGCTTTTTTGGTGTTCACAGAAACGATTATGCTGTGTAGAAGCGTTCGTGCTGCGATTATAAACTGACCTAAATTATAAAGCAAGTGTCTGTTTTATATACTTATACAATATTTTTGTATAATTCTTTTTCACATCTTCACAAATGCTGGAAACTTTCTTTTATTAATAAAAAGGTTTTGAAAAATACTGACACCTGGTGGTTGTTCTCATTTTTACAGGTTAAAGTGTCTAGGACTAGATTTATTGTATTTATGCTTTTTTGATGCTTGTAGGAACATCACAGCATCTCAGGCTGGGATCAGCTGTAACTCCTTTATGTGAGGATTTTCTTTGTAGAAACATCTCCAAAACTTCCAGCATCAAACCTCGGACTACTACATTTGTGAAGTTCTGTTTGCAAAGAGGAAGTAAAATCCACCTAAAAATAAAAGGCTGAGAAGGAAATGGTGAAAGCAAATACATCCCAAGTTGGAATTGGAGAGTTTAGAGACTGGACAACCCACAGAGCAATAAACATGTTTTAGGAGGACGTGATGAGGAGCCTAACGGCTTGTGTTCATCGGTTTGATTTTAGAAAGGAAACAAAGGAAGGGTACGAAATCTACGTCTAGAATGAAATAGAAACAAAGGGGGAAGACCTAGGTATGGGGTTGTAAAACATCTTTAACCCTTTGATGCATAATGGTCACTACAGTGGACAGGTACTCACAGCTGATGAAGACTTTATTGCATTTGAGCCCCTCCATTTGGACTTCAGTAAGTCAAGCCACCATGTTTCATGTTCAGAATGCACACTGTCCACTGAGATGGACATGTAATAAATTATTTGTAAATTAACAAAATGTTACAAAATATATTTGTTGAAATTTGTTTCATTCACACCTAAAGATGAATGGAAAAAATTGTTTAAAAAAATCATGGTTGAAGATTTCATAATTCATGCATCAAAGGGTTAAAGCATCAAATTTGTGAATTTAGAAAAAAATCCTTTTAAAAGACAAGTCTTTAATTTTGATATCTGGGTCTTAAAAGTTGTGCTGAAACAAATAATCAAATAGTTTGAATAAATAAGTTCCTCGAACTGTTTTTACTGCTTTGGAGCTTCGTTAAATGCGCTCACTGCTCGATAGAACAGTCAAATACTAAAATATTCCATAACTGCAGTCCTATTGTGTTTAACTACAATGTATCGCATTTCTCCTCAAAAGTTTTATATGTCAACCACGACTTTTCAGTTTAACTTGGCCTGTATATGTTTTATATATATATATATATATATATATATATATATATATATATATATATATATATGATATATATCTATATATATATATATATATATATATATATATATATATATATATATCATATATATATATATATGATATATATAACATATATGATATATATATGTTATATATATATATATAACATATATATAACAGAACCAAACAGGGTGAAGCTGATTTTAGCTACCATGCTGCACACAGAACACACATTCTTCCTCATGACCTCAAATGTGCCCCAACTCTCATAACTTTTAGATCAAAATGGAAAACTTTCATGTGTTCATCAGCCTTTGAATGACTATTCTTATACTGCACCTTCTGCACTGTAAATGCTCACCCTTTAGCTTTTTCTTTTACATTTTAGTTTGTGTGTATTTTAATTGTGCAGTTACATTGGTTTTAATCTTCTTGCTAATTGGAAATTGCCCGTGTATGAAATGTGCTAAATAAATAAAGCTGCCTTGCCTATGAAGTTTTCATATAAATGGTCATAAAAAGACTTGAATTTGATTTGAAAGAACCGGTGGGAACCCTGTTTATGGGACCATCAGTCCTATAGTAATGGGACTGATGGTCAATGAATCCATGCAGCTACTCGGGAAGCTCTACTAGTACTGTTTTCAATAAACTCACACGTTAACTCTAGTAATGTGTCTAATGTTGCTTTTATTGTGCTTTTATTGAGTCGCTTTTGTCTGCCAGCCGATTGGTACATTGCAGCCAAATGTAGCAGATGACATTTTTAGGCAATGACTCGCACCTTTAGAGCTTCACTCTCCTCCTCCTGGTGGGATTTCTTGTTCCAAATTGCAAAACACAGAGATGCATAAAAACGATTTTGCTGATGCTGCTATAACCGAGTTAAATACAATCTGCTCATTTTAACCCTTGATTGCTGAAATAAGCAATCAGGATGTCCAGAAACCACAAAGCTTTGAGTGTGAACTGGGAAACCAGCGACTGTTCACAGTGAAGTCAGTTTTACATCACCAGGGCCGGAAAGAAGAAGCGTGTGCTCCAAAAGTGAAACTGTCCTCTCAACTGACAGCTGCCCGCGTGACGCCAAGGCAAACGTCTTCTGGATGAAAGTTTTAGTCAAATTGAGCCATTTGGCCTCAATGATGGAGGAATCCAGGCTGAACCTAAGAACACTACAAACTCTAAAGCAGGCAGGTGTCGGCGTCGTGCTGTGGTACTGGTGATTTGGATATAGTGAAAGGATCCAGGGAGGAGAACTACGACCCCAAATGCATCAGAACTGAACAGATGAAACCTTAGAGATGGGTCACGCCCTTTAAAGTGCATTGTTGTGGTGAAGTTTAGAAAATGAAGATCGTACTACTAGATTGTTAATTGAACAATCTGTTTGCAAAATGTTGATTAGAAATAGAAAAGCTGGAATTTTTGATGGAGTAAAAGTCTGAAAATAATGTTTGCATGAATTCTTTTGTTCTTTCCGACTGGTTCTACTCTGACTAGCCTTGAGCTTGTTTGCTTGAGCAGAGCTAATCTCTGTTTCTCCAGACTGAGGTCATTCGTAATGCAACAGATAAGATATCATTTGTTCATACCTCTTCCAGAGAAAGTTCCAGTTTGAAGTGGCTATCACCTGAAGCTTCTACGACAGCCTTCATGATAAAACCACGACCCCGGGCCATTGAGGACCAAACCTGACCATTAACCTTAAACAAACTTCAACAGTTCTGCTGGGAAGAGCTGTCAAAGACCCAGCCAGACTTGTGTCAGATGCATAGTGCAACATCATTAGAAACATTTAGCTGAATCGGCATGGACTTATGTACACATTTGATTCTGAAAGTATAATTTAAACAGAAAAACACGAAAAAAATGTAGTTTGTGCACCCAACTTTTATTTTGAAAAATATACAAAGGCTTAAGTTAACTAAAAAAAATAGCATTTTGAAAGTTTCTCTTACACAACGAACCACAACTTCTTCCTGGTCTTATCACGCGGGTTGGAGCACCTCTGCATGCCATATGATCTGCTTTGTTTTGTAAGTATGCAAAACTCCTGCCAACATTTATGGGTTTGTTTACCCCGAAGATAATTAGGTTTGCTGCCACACCTGTCAGAGTGCCAAAGCGCAACGACTTAAAAATAACAAGGATTCCTCTCAAATAGCTTGACGTGTTATATTAGCCCACATCTTAAGTAATTTAGTTGTGTAAGGGTTTCAAAGCTGCACATCCACAATCTGATGAGGCAAAACTGAGAATACAGTCACGTTTTCATTGCACTCCACAGTGTAAGAGTTCTAACTCACCAGTCCAATTATTTGTTTTTAAGTAAAGTTTCCTCATCAGTCCAGCTCCTTGTGTTTCAGGTAAATGAACGTATGAAGCAGCGAGTTTGAGACTGCATTGCTTTGTGAACCCTAGTGCTGCACAATCCTTCTTTGTCATGTGTTTGGAAGAAACTGCTGGACTCATCAGCCCAGAATAATGTCCCATGGTGCAGTGCTCCTTGCTTGTCTGAGCACACAGGGGACACAAGTTGGCTCTGCGTCAACAAGGGCTCCTCGGCTGCTTTTAGACATGTTTTCCTTTTGCATCACGTTTCCTAGCTAGCTTTGAGTTGCGGCCCGTGACACAGATCAACCAAGAAATACCAAGGGAGCATACTAATTGTTGTAATCGACACCTTTTGAAGCCATCTTTGTTATAGGGATATACACGGAGTGGGATGATTCAAATCAAAACACAATAGGGATCTTTCAGAGCATCAAGCGTAACAAAGACAACTTTGTCACTGCATGCAAAACAAGATAAAAATGCACAGAACACGTTTGACCCCAGCAGCCAAGGATGGAAATGATTTGTTTATCTAACTACATAATTTACAGAGACTTGGTGGAAGGTGACTTCTGATTAGGAAAATAACAAGTAATGTCATTTAGTAGGATCATGCTTCAAAATGTTCATTGATGTGTATAATTTGAGGGTAAAAAATGGTCAGTAGGATAAAAAAAACGGTCTGGGTAACCAGTATTTCCTCTCAGCCCTTGTTGTAGGTAGTTGTTTCCGAGCAACTAGGGGAAGATACCAATCACAGGGCCAGCAGGTGAGACACATGGCTGTAGAAACAATGACATGTGAAAAGGTCAGGGTTACATAAAGTCTTCCATAATGACACACAGAGTCGAAAAACAAACAAAAACATGGAATAAAATAAAATGAGGAAATAAGTAACTAAACATGTACTAAACAGCCGAATTCACCAACTTTAAACGTAATGACTTTTAGTCATAAAAGGAAAAAAAACGTAAAAGTATTAGATAACAAAGGTGATGCGACTTCCGTTTTAACACCACTTAGCTCTTATCTGATGGTGCGGCTGCAGCTAGACCTTTGATGGTTTGTAGGTGGAAGAATTTCAGGAGAGAGGTAGGCGGGCTGTTTGGCAAAGCGAGAGCTCCTATTGGCCAATGTGATGATTACGACCGCAGAGAGGCGGAGCAAGGTCTTCGCTGATTGGCTGGAATCACCCGTCCGTTACAGCGCATCGGTTTTCTCCGGGTGAGGGCTCTGCCTGCCTCTGCTCTGCTGCTGTCTGTGCTCCCGTCACGGCTCATCCACAGACTGAGACTGGCCCATCAAATAACGTTATCCATGCTCTGCTCTCTTCTAATTTACTCACCGACGCGCGTGTCCAAGACTCTGTACTGATTCCACCATTCATAGGTGAGTGCTTTTTAATCAGCGGGTTGCTAGCATTAACGGGATTTCGTCACTGAATTAAAAAAGAGGATACCGCGAGACGGAGAGATTCGACCGTTAAACCCTGTCAGGTTTTACCAATGTAAGCGCCATTTCTCATTCAGCAGCACGCAGCCAGAGGGGTCGTTAATGTAAGCGCGAGCGGCGCGGTCGGCAGGAAGGCGAGTGTGTTTATCATCATCATCATCATCATCATCATCATCTCAACGCTCACGTTTATCCGTGGAGATCAGGTGCAGCGAGACGAGGCTTTGGGTAGTTTGACAGCAACAGGCCGCGCAGGGCAGGCCCGTTTAATGCTCACACATTACAACAAGAAGCCGTCATGGTTAGTCGGACGTTCACTTCAATTATTTATGAATATCTGAAAGGATGTCGGAGCTTTTGGGGTGTGGACCTATAGGATGGAGTTATGTTACGTAACCTCACTCATCACTCACGCCTGGTCCTCATCCTCGGCACATGTTCATCCCACACTGACTGATCTCTGCCCTCCCGGAAAACCACACATATACACAAAACACGTCAGCGACCGTTCTCATGACCAGGCTTAATTGAGTTATAGATAAGAAGTGCAAACTAACTCGGTGAAGAGATATTCAGTCTGTGGTGCATGTGGATAAACGTCACAGATAAGGTTTTTAAGCAGTGACACATTTAAAGGGATGGTTTAGATCTCCAGATTTCTGTAAAAGCTTCTGAACAACCTCAGTTTAGAGAAATAGCTTAATTCTGTCTAGATTAAAGAACTCACGGCTATCCACTGGATGGTCCAAAAACAACAGCTATATTAGGGCTGCACGATATTAGGAAAACCTGTGATATTCGATAACAGTGCTTAATATTTCGATATCGATATTACTCACGATAAATGAACAAATACTAAAGTATGCAGTGTTGATGTCCTCTGGCGTTCAAAGCAAACAAAAACTAATGCATGAATTCCATTACAGCATACCTTTTTTATTGCAAAAATATGCAGCTGCACCTGCTACTGTTTTAGCAGCTGCACCTGCTACTGTATTAGCAGCAAAACAACAAACTGCATGCATGCAGTTTCTCAGTGACTTTAAAACATCAACTCCACCATAAAACTTTTTCTGATGCTCCAAATACAGAAAAACATCCCTTACCAGGGTTTTTGAATAAATAAAAAAATCAGAAAATAAGTTTAAATGTTAAATAATAGTTAACATCACTTAAATGCAACAGCAAATCCTCTCATTGCTACTGAACATTTTCTCCACTTATGTGGTTATGATATAAGGCTGTTGCTGTAATTGGGAAGTGAACTGTGCTGGGCCAAACTAGGAGAATATTAAGATTTTCTGAGGGAAAGAGAAAAACAATTGTCTACCTTTCAGAAGAGGAACTGGCAAAAAAAAAACTACATGGAAAATATGTGAAAACGTTTGTTTTTAACCCCAAATTAAACAAGTTTACCTAGATCTTAAAAAGCAGCTCAGATGATGAAACTGCAACTATGATTCTGATAACAAGCTAGCTCCTCTAAGATAACCGGCTAGCAGAGCTTCTGACTGACAGTTTATGTGCAGCAGCAAATCAACTATCCTGATTAACAAGGTTATAAAAGCTCATAAATGAAAAATCACTTTGATGTGTGGGGGAACTTTTCCAGGCCCTCTTTAGCAGGGTGGGACTGGGAGGAGTGTGCTGTAACCTTTTAGCTGGAAGCTAACCGGAGCCTGGTGCTAACGTCACCACCCGGTGGAACACTAGCAACATGAAGGTGGGTTGGTTCACCGGCACGTGTCGGAGTCAGCCCGGTTATTATCAGCTGCTTAACGACACCGAGCGGATTCACATTCACGTTTGAAAGCAGCGCTGATTCCAGAAACCTCAGCACAAAGTGCGTTCGTTGCTCTGAGCCAGCATGACGAACAAGGGAACGGCGCCGCTAATGTTCGGGTGTTGCTTTCCAAAAGGGTCTACATAGAGGGCAGGCGTATTACGTGAACGGACCCATCTGATTGGCCGCATATCAGAAGGGCTACATTTGATTGGTCAAATAATACTTCCGCGTAAAAAACAGAGCTGGTTTACAAAAAGTTGATGTATGACACGGATGGAAATGTTTGAACCAAACATTTATCGTCATTTTTGACGTGCTTTGCGATGAGCCTATCGCACGTCCTGTTATCGCGATGACGATAATTTGTCGATATATTGTGCAGCCCTAATCTATATCAAATAGTTCGCAATCACTTCACGACATAGACATGGATACTGTTGGTTTTTTTTTAGCGGCACAGGTTACCTAGAGTGAATCACAAGCACAGGTGAAAGATGAAACTTTTATTTGTCTCTGCAGAGGGAGAAATGCGAAGACCAAGAACAAACCAACCCAGTATGGACTAGGGCTGCTCGATTATGGCAAAAATAATAATCACGATTTTTGTGACTGAAATTGAGATCACGATTATTTAGGACGATTTTTCAATTTATGTTGATTTTATTTGTTTTTATTCAGTCATAAAACTGCTCGGGGCACAATCAGGACAAAAATAAGAAACAAGATGATCACTAAAATAACTCCTGATTCCCAGTATAAAAAGACCAATATACTTATAGCTCATAGTTATGACCCGAGGGCTATAGACCTTGGTTTAACTCATTTAAGTCTAACCAGTACAGACCCAAATACCAATATCTTGCAGATACTGACAGCAAGAATTATACAGTGGCATTTATAACAAATAAATGCAAATAAATTGATGTTCACAAAATGTTGCATAACATTTATTGAGTCGTGTCAAGGTGCTGTAGGAGAGTGCACTAGCACCGTGTCCTCAGAGAGGTTAGTTATTAGTTATCAGCGTGAGGAACTTATTTCTACCTTATTTATAAACTATTTATTTACAGGCCCATCAGTTAATGTAATAATTGTCCCAACCACAGCTGCACCCCCCACCCCGGTCTCACAGCAATCGGCCAAGCTGCACGTGTGTTTAGCACGCTGCACGCGCACATTTAGCTGTTTTTAGCTGCTCAGGAGTCCGCAGGTGTGGTGTGTGTCAGTCACTCTGGCTAATCCAACAGGAAGCCGGCTCTGAGAGCCGTTTCTTTAGTGACCGACACATCACTACATCATTCCCTTTCCTAATGTCCTGAAGAACGGTCCGGAGCGCAGGCGGAGTGTTTAGCTAACCTGCAGGAAATGTCGACGACAGCTATCCAGAAAGTAGCTAAGGGTTACCAGAGATGTTTCTGAGATGTTCGCTAGGTACTTTTAGGATTAAAAAGTCAAGAAGGGGGTCTGAAAAGCTGCTAGAAATAGCGTCAAAGTCGCTAAGTTGGCAACACTGTGGAGGAGCGCTTCATTTGCAACTCAGGGCAGCGCAAGCGGGAGGAGCAAATAATCGGCTTGTTTTGTTTTTTATAATCGTTCAAAACTCAGATCGTAATCGTGATTAAAATTCGATTAATTGAGCAGCCCTAGTATGGAGTTTGACAAATTTCAAAGAGTAGGCTCCCTTTGAGCGCCTTTTATTCACTACAGAGCACGTACATCAGCACATTTCTTGATAAGTGATAAATGACTACTTATTCAGTCGGTTCCCCTCCCATCCTTGGGTATCCGGGCAATCACCCAGGAAAGGGAGTTTGGTCATTAGGAAACATCCTTCAAAAGGTCACTCTGACATCAAGTAGAGATATAAAAATAGCATAGGTCTTGACTGCACTACAATCAGTTACAATTATCATTTATAATCTGTTACAACATAAGCTGCATTAAGTGCTTTTCAACATTATCATCTATTACATATGACAGTAAAAGCTGTTTTTAATAGTGTTCGTCTGACATCATCATCAACTACATGTGATAGTAAAAACTGCATTACAAAATGTTCCCTATCAGATACTTAGACGCGCCATTGGACGCTGGAGAGCGTTACAGTGCCGCCACCATATTGGATGGGTTACTCACTGTCCAAACCCGACTAGAGTCAATGCAGGGTGAGCAACCATTCCTATTTTTTTGTGAAGCCTACGGTTGCAAGAACCAGTGCTCATTTGCAAACAAATCACGTGGGATTACTATAGACTTTTCTAGCCTACTTGTAAGGATTTTATATTTAATTTTTTAAAAATTATTTGTGTCTGTATTTTAACTATCAAGGCATAACACATGTCCAGTTTGATGAAAAAGCATAATAAAGGTGTTTTTAAGTTGAGAAAGGACCGTTCTCAGTAGAAATAAATGCACTGGGGTGAATGGAGACCCATCCAAAATGGTGACCTGCCACTACGTCAGCTCCAGTAGGCAGTGCCAGTCCAAGTTGCGTCCATATTTATGATGTCTGGGCTTCAAATGTCGTTGAATAGTTTTTTACATAATTAGAAATTTTTTATTTTGATTTATGTGGTTGTTTGTAGCTGGGATTAGCTGTGATGCTAGCTGATGTGACCGTCCTGGCTGGAAATTCCTTCTAATTGATCCAGAATAACCACGGCCATGTAAAGATTATAAAATGATATTTACATATGTTGATTTCAAATTTCTGACACTTGGGCTGGGCTGAAATGAATCCTTGAACGGTTTGAATGATTAAATTTATTAAATTCCTTCAATCATATTTTACTGATTTGAGTCTTTGTTAAATATGCGCACCACAGTCTGAACACATTTTACTGGTGCACATTATGGTCATCTAGGTGCTGTGGAGGAAACCAGCAAAGCCTTTGTGAAAAGCAGAAATGGTCCAAAGGTTGGCATCAAGATTGAAACTACGAGCAGTTTGGGTTATGCTTCTGCTAGCGGGCAGCATGCTCACGATCAAGTGGGGTTCTGAAAAAAAAAAGATCATAAACCTAAGGATGACTAAACTCTACCAGTGGAAGAAAATCCCCACCATCCCGTTTATTTGTGGATACATGCAGCTGCAGAGGTGTGGAGCAGAACCGCATCAGGTACCTGGAGTCACGTTGCTATAAGTCTGCTTATCCATACTGCTGCAATAGTATGGCAAGCCATTGTAACATGTAATGTACAAACACTTCTATCACTGAATATAATTTTAGATTGGATTATTGCCAACTAGGGCTGCAACTATAGACAATTTTTTAATAGTCGACTAGTCACCGACTATTGAAATGATTAGTCGACTAATCGAATAATTTTGAAATTTTTCATTTTCTTTAAATGCTTTCTTCATTTTCCTCTTTTTCCCCTCTCACTGAGAACTGTGTATCCAAGCTTCTCACGTGCAGCCGTCCTACTACATGCCCACTCGACCCCATTCTGACTAAGCTGCTCCAAGCTATTGCTCCTACAGTAGCCGCAGCAGTCACACATGTTCTCAACGCTTCACTGACATCCGGTACATTTCCCACTTCTCTCAAGCATGCTCAGGTTAAACCGCTGCTAAAGAAAAATCTCTTCCTCCAAGTCATGTGGAGAACTACCAACTATCTCTCTCCTCCCTTTTCTGTCCAAAATCATTGAAAGGGTAGCTTTCAAGAAGATCACAGAATACCTCTCACAAAACTGTCTGCTTGACCCTTACCAATCTGGGTTCAAAAAGGGCGACTCCACTGAAACTGCTCTGTTAGCAGTGACGGAATCCTTAAAAGAAGCTAGTGCGACTGCCAAATCCTCAGTGCTTATCCTGCCCGACTTATCAGCTGCATTTGACACTGAAAACCATGGCTTCCTTTTGTCCACACTCTCTAGCACGGGCATCACAGAGAAAGCACATGCCTGGTTTGAATCGTGCCTCACAGGACGATCATTCAGTGTATCTTGGCTTGGACAATCCTCTACCATGCACCATCTTGCCACAGGAGTCCCCCAGGGCTCTGTACTAAGACCTCTTCTCTTTGCCATATACACCACCTCACTGGGTGAGATTATTTGATCACATAGCTTCTCCTACCACTGCTATGCAGACGACACCCAGCTCTATCTGTCATTTCCACCGGACGACCACACTGTCTCTGCACGAATATCAAACTGTCTCTCTGACATATCAAAATGGATGAAATCCCACCATCTCCAACCTTTCTAAAACTGAACTACTTGTCATCTCAGCAAAACCATCCATACAGCACAGAATCTCAATCCAAAAGGACTACCTATCTCTGGCTCCTTCAAAGGCAGTTCGAAATCTGGGTGTTGTGACTGATGAACTCCTGAGCTTTAAAGATCATGTTGCCTCTGTTGCTCGTTCATGCCGCTTTGCGCTGTATAACATACGAAAGATCAGACCATACCTAACACAACATGCCACCCAGCTCCTGGTGCAATCTACTGTCATCTCCCGCCTCGATTACTGCAATGCCCTTCTAACTGGTCTTCCGGCCTGGACTGTGAGAGCTCTTCAAATGGTCCAGAACGCAGCAGTGCGTCTGGTCTTCAATCAGCCAAAAAGAGCACACGTCACCTCTCTGTTTGTTGAGCTCCACTGGCTACCGCTAGCTCCACGCATCAAATTCAAATTGCTAACACTAGCATACAAAGTCCGAGATGGTACGGCTCCCATCTACCTGAATCCTCTTGCAAAGGCTTGCGTCTCGGCCCGGCCGCTCCGGTCATCACAGGATCGTCGGCTAGCAGTGCCTACACCACGCTCAGGACAATCCAGACTCTTCTCATGCATCGTTCCACAAATGTGGAATGACCTTCCAAGCACTACAAGAACAGGGGCTTCCTTTTCAATTTTCAAGAAACTCCTGAAGACCCTGCTCTTCAGAGAGCATCTTCTAAACTATCACCCTCCTCCCTGCACCCGTCCCCCCTCTCTACTGTCCACTCCTTGTTCCCTCCTCTCCATGATTCATCATGCTGCCTCACTGCCACCTACGGTTGACTGGAAATTGTTTGTTATTGTTGTTTGCCTTAAGGGCAACATGCCGATTATAACTTGTAAGTCGCTTTGGACAAAAGCTTCTGCTAAATACATTAACATGAACATTTCTGTTAGTTGATGCTCAGCAGAGAAGCTATTGCACATATGCGACTCTCGGCAGAGATTGTAATGAAGTGAGATGCGTCACTCAGTCGGAAAAAACATGTCTGGCGACAAAGTCGACAATGAAATTCATTGTCGACTGTTTCTGTTGTGGATATTTGTCAACAACGTCGATGAATCGTTGCAGCCCTATTGTCAACCCATACATAATAAACAGATAAGAGTCTGACATTTCAGCCTCAGAATTTCTTTGTGGTCTGCTGTTAAAATATGAGATAAAACAATCTCGTTTCACCTGAAGGGTGTTCAAATAGAATACTCCAATCTGAGAATGTGATCGAATACTTGAATACTAAAGTATTCGATAGCTGCAGTTTTATAAAAGTACCCGGCTTTGTCATGAGCTAGTTGTCTCATCTGATTAGAATTAAACTGTTTCCTTCAACTAAAGCCGATCAAACTGCTGTTGATAACCGGCGAGATATTCACTGGTGATCCCAACCTTTCATTCTCCATCACTTTATGTCTGATGGTGTCACATAACATTTAACATTGATGCACATTGTACAACATGCCTCAGTGTGCCAGGACCATGATGTCTGGTTTTGATCTACCATCCAGGAGATGTGGACCATTATGGAAAAACAAGATTTAGTGACGTGTTTTCACTAACGCAAGATCATTATAAAGGTCAAGATGCTTTTTCCACTGATAAGGCTCGTTGTGACTAGTCTATCTGACAAGAATAAGACGAGTGTTTGTCCCAATCTCAAGGATTTTCTGAAAGACTTCGCTTTGGGTCTTCTAATCTCACTTCTACCACAATGTTGCCCAAAGGGTTCAGAATGTAAGACTGCACCATCAAAGCTAAAAAAAAACCCCAGTATGAACACGGAGCAGTGACTTTCACCAGCTGGTTGAATAAAATACATTTATTTCACTAGTTTATGGTCATATCGGGGGATTGCAGATGGAGATCAGTTTTACATTTGGCCAGTTAAATTAATTTAAGGTAAAAATATTTGAAACAAATGCTTCTTCTAAAGTCAGTTACCATGAATTGTAAAGAAATGAGTGAATATGTGTAAATGACATGATAACGGCTTAGCAGAGAAACGAGAGAGAACACCCAGGAAAAGTGGTTTTTATTCAGAAACTATAAGAAAAGAGGAAGTAAATCAAAACAATGGCTACAGAAATAAAAATAAGCTTCATCAGTTTACTGTTACAGATACAAACTCTATAACTGGTCAGTAAAGTGACTTGGAACTTGTCGTCTGTCAGCAGCTTTTAATTTGAAGTTTCTGCCTTTTCTGCTGAAAGTTGTAGCAAACAGGAAGTTCACTTTCTCCGCTCCATATTCCTCAAACGTAAATCCTCTGGAAAACTGCGGATCTGTGCTCAGCTCTGCTCACTGCAGGTAGTAAATACCTGAAACTCTGAGATCGCTAAGGTGAGCGTTGAATCCCACCTGGAGTCGTGCAGCATATGGACATTCTTAAAGGATGCCTAAAGTAGACGAATGACCTGGAAACGCCATCAGAGACACAAGCAGAGGATCCCAAACTAAATCCACATGCTAACCCACCTAAAAACGTAGTCGAGTAGATCAGGTAGCATTAGTTGCATGTTTCATCTGCTGTCAACGTTTCGACTCTGACCTGTGACTTTCAGTCCTTACTTACATTGATATTAAGAGAGGATTTAACTCCAGATGTTTCTGCTTTTTTGACAGCACTTAAATATTGTTTAGATGAGTTTTCAGTGTTGGTCTGATAATCTGTTAAAATGCAGAGTCAGTAGGTTTCTGCTTTGCCCTAAAACTCGTCTTCATCCTCCTTACAGCTAGAATTTGTACTTCCAGATCTTATGTAACTGAAAAGCTGCTTGATCTTTAAAATCAAGCCCAGAGTGGTGACTGGGTCCAAAAACTGAATTGGTTCTGTAGACAACCCCCCTCCCCCCAGCTGCTTGTAACAGACATGCCAACCTAACCTGCTAAAGCCGATGTTGACTGGCTCTTTTCTCTTCCTCTCTAACCTCCTCTGTAGCCTCTAGTTCGCCATGGCGACGGTAGTGATGGAGCAGATCGGACGGCTGTTCATCAATGCTCAGCAGCTGCGACAGATCCCTCAGCTGCTTGAGTCGGCCTTCCCGACGCTGCCTTGCACCGTGAAGGTGACCGACGTTCCCAGGGTGTTCCAGGAACGCCACATCCTCACCGGCTACAGGCAAACGGACCAAAGCTGGCGTTACTACTTCCTCACCCTCTTCCAGCGGCACAACGAGACCCTCAACGTGTGGACCCACCTGCTGGCCGCCCTCATCATCCTGGTGAAGTGTCAGGAGATCTCAGAGACTGTGGATTTCCTTCGTGACCCTCATGCCCAGCCCCTCTTCATCGTCCTCCTGGCAGCCTTCACCTACCTCTCCTTCAGTGCTCTTGCTCACCTCCTCTCTGCCAAGTCGGAGCAGTCCTACTACACCTTCTACTTCCTCGACTACGTCGGGGTTTCTGTCTACCAGTACGGGAGTGCTCTGGCACACTACTACTACGCAATAGAGAGTGAGCTGCACACCATCGTGCAGGGCTTCTTCCTACACACTGCAGCGTTCCTGGCGTGGCTCACTTGCTTTGGGTGCTGCTATGGCAAGTACGCCAGGCACGACATGCCCAAGTTCGCTCACAAGGTGTTCCAGGTGGTGCCCTCCGCCTTGGCGTACTGTTTAGACATAAGCCCCGTTGTTCATCGCATCTACAGCTGCTACCGGGACGGCTGCTCCGACCCCATCGTGCCGTACCACATCTACCACGTGCTCTTCTTCCTGGTCAGCTCCTACTTCTTCTGCTGCCCGCACCCAGAGAGCTTGTTTCCCGGAAAGTGCGATTTCATCGGGCAGGGTCACCAGATCTTCCACGTGTTGGTGGTGGGATGCACCCTGCTGCAGATCGAAGCCCTGCGAACAGACTTCATGGAGCGCCGCCCTTTCTACGAGCGTCTCCACGGAGACCTCGCTCACGACGCCGTCGCCCTCTTCATCTTCACCACCTGCTGCAGCGCCCTCACTGCTTTTTATGTGCGCAAGCGTGTACGTGCCTCTCTGCAGGAGAAGAAGGAGTGAGACCGTTCTAAAAACCCAAGAACTTATTTTACTCTGTAGTGATGATTTTAAAAGATTAATATGTTTTTGTCTTTGAACAATATTGCTTTGTGACAGTGACTTATGCTTTTGTCTTCTCCGAGATCTGCCAAAATCCAGTGATGTGAAGTGACTGAGGACGTGTTTTTGTGACTTAAGTGAAGGGAATCAGGAACGCGTTGGCGGTACTGCTCCCATAGCAACCGTTTCACTTAGTTTACACGGTTGCTTTTGGTGTTGATTTAAAGGAATGTTTTGCTTTTACATTTTTTCCAGGTGAGCAGAGAAAGTTTGTAAAAATGCCTTCTTAATCGTCTCTTAGAAAAAAATCTGCCTGTTTGGATCGAGTTGTAGCATTTTTGCGTTATGCAAGCGTTTACGGAAGCGGTTAGGTTGGAGTCTAATCGCTCCTGTCCGACGCTACGTTATTCTCCTTGCCTTTAGGTACCACAGCAGGGATTATTTCATTTATTAAAATATTCACACGGAGCTGTGCTAATATTTCAATCCCTAAAAAGAGCATTTAGAAACTAATATTCAAACCAAATATTATATAAAGTGAATGAAGTTTTAGGTTTGTTGAAAATGAGTCTGGTACTCTATTGGTAAAAGGTTTGGGGCAACATTACTGAAGTTTTTTCTTTACAATAGCGTATTATTGTAGGCCTAAGTCTAACAAACGGAGCTGGAAAAGAGGAAAAGTCCCGAGAAAACCATAGAAATCCACACATACGTCATATTTACATGAAAAACCTCATTTTGACTCGTTTTTCACGTTTCATATAATTTGATCGTATTTCTAAACACCGTTCTTGTAAATTGATGTTTTTTTCTTACAAATTTAAGACAGAATATGACGTTTTCTCAACATTAATACGTAATATTTAAATTTGCCTTAACGCTGCGCTTCCTTCATTCATTTGTAACTACCCGGCCCCAGTTCGCCGTAGTTCTTCTGTTAAACAAAAATGATTCCTTTAAAACCGGAGGGCTGAAACGTCAGCCTCCGCCTCACACCCCGTGATGTTCGTGCGTTTTTGCGTGCATGTTTTCATGGTGGGCGATGAGAGACGAGTCGCTAAAGTCAAGTCTGGGTGTGTTGCTGCTTCTCGGGTGTTTTTGTACGGTTTCTGTGCCTCTACGCATGTGGATGTTAAATGTGTGAATGTCAACGAACGCCTGCACCTGCTGTAAACACGTCGTCTTTCTCTAGAAGGTTCCACCTCGCGAGTTTCTAGCTAGATACGCGGTACATTCCTGTTTGTATGAGACATTTCTTCCTCCATACGACTGCACTTACTCTGAAGAACCTTTGTTTTGTGTCTTTGAGTTTTCTCATGAAACCATCACTCGTGAATTTCTTTCAAATGTCACTTTGATTGTTTTCGTTTTGAAATCACAGAACGTGAAATTTGAGAACTGAAGAATTTTCATGACCTCACTGTCTTCTGTTTAATGTGCCAATGAATCTGTTTTTACTTCAGTGATGGTACTGCTGGGAGGAGAACGGAGACAGCCTGTTACGAGTGAGATTTGGGCAGAGCATGAACTACGTAACGTTCCTTTTTGGTATTCTGACCTGCTCTCTTTATGCACTACCTGAGTCAACACTGTACATACTCTTACTGTTACCGACTATGTTTACACGCACGAGAAAGCCGATCCTGTCGGGCTGGCTTTGAGTGGAAACGGAAGCTCAGAGGAGCTTTTGAAGATGTGAAATAAGAAGGTGTCATTATAGGCAAATGATTTCCAGTTGGTAAATGATGTCTTTAATGCCGTCGCCAGCCTCGTTTGTACAGTAACAGATAAAGTTATTGTGTTGAAGATGACCAAAGCTTTTAGTCTGGGGTATTAAAAGTGGTGGTTTGAGTAGAACCGGGGAAATTCTCCCATTTTATAAAACGTGTTTTTAAGAGAAATGATGCTCAGAGTTAAGTGATGATTGTGTGTAAACATAGCCTAGTTAAACAACAAGTTTGTGTGCTATTGTTTGAGATGAAGCAGGGTCTGAGGTATCAGAATGTCATCTGTCTCAATATCTGTAACTGACTGTACTGATATCTGTGGTATTTAAGGAAATAAAAGTGTTACTGTAACTAAAACCGATGTCCCGACTCATCGTGACCTCTACTGTCGGGTTACCCCAAAGGTGGTTTCGGCATCCACGGATGGGTTTCTCAACACAAGTCATGACAAAACATAGTTTGCTCAAAATATTAAAAGGATACATAAGAATGCATGATGCATTTCCTCGTTACAACTACAATTTCAAAACAAAATAAAAATAGCTTTATGTACACAAAAGGTTGTGAAAATCTATTCACACCCCTTGAACCTTTATTTTGACACAACCACAAACTATTGAGGCTTTCTGTGATAGACCAACACAACACAACGCATCAATACTTGCCTTTCGCTGCTTTTGCAGGTCCTCGGAGGTATGCCACTAAGCCTTGCACATCTAGAGACTAAAACTCCTGCCCATTCTTTCCTGTAAAACAGCTCAAACTCACCCTGATTGGATGGAGAGAGTTTGTGAGTGGCAGTTTTCAAGTCCTGCCACAGATGCTCAGTGGGATTTAGGTCTGGACTCTGACTGGGCCATTCTCGCAGATGTCCAGTTGGAAGGTGAATCTCCTTCCCGGTCCCAAGTCTTTTTCAGCCTCCAACAGGTATTTTTTCCAGAATTGTCCTGTATTTAGCTCCATCCATTTTCCCATTAACTGACTGGCTTCTCTGTCCCTGCTGAGGAAAAGTGTCCCACAGCATGATGCTGACTCCACCATGTGTCACAGTGGGGGTGCAGTGTTCAGGGTGATGAGCAGTATCACCTTTCCTTTGCATTTAGGCCCAAAAGTTCATCTTTGGTCTGGAAACCATTAACAGGACTTTTAATGTCCTGTCAACAATGGCTATCTTCAGCTTTCTTCCATATAGGCCAGATTAGTGGAGTACATAACATACAGTTTACTTTGGACAGCTGTGGATTTCTGCAGCTCCTCCAGAGTGGCCATGAACTTCTCTGACCAGTGATCTCCTTGCTTGGTCTGTTAGTTTAGGTGGATGACCATGAGCTGTCTGTTGAGGTCCTTTGTCTTCAGGATTAGGCAGGTTGGATGTCCAAGTGACGTCCTGCTGCCCAGGCGTCCCAACACAACAAAAGTCAGCGCTCACACCCTGGTAGCACGAAGAAAGCTCCTCACTGAGACCTTCTTCTTTAGTGGGTTTTGATGGCAGCCGGCAGCCTGTGTAGTTGCACAACTGCCACCTCCTGCAGTAGCATCACACTATACATCCAGTCCATACATTTTCGGACGCTTTTTTGAGGTCGAGTCACGGGTGCAGCAGCCTAAGCAGAGAGGCCCAGGCTTCCCTGTCCCCAGCCACTTGGGCCAGCTCTTCCGGAGGAATCCTAAGGTGTTTCCTTGCCAGCCGAGAAGCATAGTCCCTCCAGCGCGTCCTGTGTCTTTCTGTGGGTCTCCTCCTGGTTCGCAGCGCCCAGAAAACTTCACCAGGGAGGCATCCTAACTACTGGCTCCTCTTGGATGTGCAGGAGCAGTGGATCTACTCCCAGTCCCACCTGGATGGCCGAGCTTTTCACCCTATTTTTGAGGGAGAGCCCAGACAACTCATTTTGGCCGCTTGTAGCCGTGGTCTCATTCTTTAGGTCACTACCCAAAGCTCATGACCATAGGTGAGGGTAGGAACTAGGGCTGCTCAATCAATCAAATTTTAATCCCAATTACGATCTGAGTTTTGAACGATTACAAAAACAAAACGGGCCAATTATTTTCTCCTCCCTCTTGCGCTGCTCCGAACTGTCACTAAAACATACATGCGTTTGTGTTTTTATTTATGTTATAAATGCCACTGTATAATTCTTGCTGTCTTGGTTGGATATTTGGGTCTGTACTGGTTAGGCTTAAACGAGTTAAAGCTCAGCTCTTTGGGTCATAAGTATGTTGGCCTTTTTATACCAGGAACCAGGAGTTGTTTGTGTTTCCTTCTTTTTCTTATTTAGTTTTGTCCTGATTGTGCCCTGAGCAATTTAATGACTGAATACATGAACAACCAATTAAAATGAACATTAACTGAAAAATCATCTTAAATAATTGAGATCTCAACTTCAGTCACAATAATTGTGATTATCGTTTTTGCCATAATCTAGTAGGAACATAGATCTACCGGTAAACCGAGAGCTTCACCTTCTGGCTCAGCTTCATTTCAACAGACCAGTACAGCACCACTGCAGAAACAGCACCGATCCACCCATCCACCTCGTGCTCCAGCTGTCCCTCACTCCTCCTACTGAGGCAGGACCTTGTCCCTGACCTGGAGAAAGCATCCTACCCTTTTCCGACCCAAGACCACGGTCTCGGACGTAGAGGAGCTGACTCTCATCCTATCACTCACAAACAGTTCAGTAACCAGCAAAACTCTGTAAACTTTCTCCCTTCCCATTGGCGGACCCACCTGACACTCAGCTGGACTTCCTCGGTAACGCCCAAGTCTGTCAACAGCACCCTTCCCTGATCTGCACGTTTCCCACAGTCTCCTCAGCACCACTCCTGCCCACGGAGGCCTTCACAGAACAGGTGTATTTATAATGAGACTAATTTACACACAGGCGAACTCTATTATCTAATTAGATGACTTCTGAGGGCAGCTGGTTGCACTAAATGTTACTAAGGGGTATCGGGGGGGGGGGGGGGGGGGGCTGAATACAAATGTACGCCACACTTTTCAGATTGTTGTGTGTCAGTTTCATTCCACTCCACAGTTATGTTGTGTTGGTCTAACACAGAAAACATTTACGTTTGTGGTTGCAAGGAGTCAAACACCAGTGCTACGGTAAGCCAAAACGAAAACTCACAGAGCAGTTTTTAAACGTGACTCACAGAAAGATAAGGACATGCTTTGCATTTCCTCTACAGTCACTAGCGCCTTGGGCTTCCTGACAGGGTTGCGGAAGGCGCTTTATAAATAAAGCTTTGATTGATTGATTGATTTGATTGATTAGATAATTTCATTGCACAATTCAAAGAATCTGAAGATGTTTTTATGACGTAAAGAACAAGAATGTCGTCCGCGCCTCGATAACCATCATTCAGCAGCTAGAAACACAGAGAATCATGAAAATACAAAATGACACTACTAAGGGATCGTAATTCAGTGTACTAAAACAAACCCCCGAGGTGGTTATGGTTTCAATGGACTCACCTTCACAAGAAAAATGTGGTTTTCATCGTAAAAATCACTTTCCTAGATCTGTTATAGAAGAAATCACACAGTCCGTGTGCAAATCTAGATACAAACGGGAGAAAATACCACCACTACTACAAGAAATTGTTGCAATTTATAATTTTTAAATGTTAAATTAAAAGAAGTGAATGGGTTAAAAAGAGAATAAAATTAACAAAAGTAATTTGATTGAAATTCTGTAGAGCTGAATAATTGACTTGGATCAACGTTACAGGAAACATTTATTTACTCTGAAGACTGTTGACTTCCTGTGTGAGTAACAGGTAAACGTGGAACCACCAGAACCAGTCCATCTGCTCCTCCTTCATCCGTGTTTTTAATCTGACACACCTGTGCAATTACGCAACTGCTGCATAGGTGATTCTATCTAATCCATATCTATGTCGAACCACTGAGTTCAAAATGTAAAATTATTCCGCCTAGATAATGACTTGTTTTAAAGAAAAACTGGTTAGTTTCTGGGATTTAGCCCATTTTTAAATCCAAAACTACCTGAGCTCCATCCAACTGTAGCAGTTTGATCTGATCAACAACCTTTAAATCATCCGTCAGACTCTCAGACGCCTGGATGTTGATCCAAACAATTAAATATTTCCTCCCAAATCATTTACTGCCTTAAGGTCATTTACACTTGTGCTCCAGTCCTAAACTCTGACCTTTTAGTCACGTTTCTGTGAAAAGGTCATGAACAAACCTTAAAGGTGTGGAGACACTTGTTTAAACAATACATTTGCGGTGCTCTCTGGTAAGAATGAATGCCTTGCAAGCTGTACTCAGGGCAAAAAAAAAAAAAAAAGCTCACAAATGCCTGTTTTAGCAAATCAGATGAGAGTTTAGCACGGCAGGATTTGGGGTCTCTTGGAGTCTCTTCAGTTCATATTTGGACATCTTGCCTCAAATTGAATAACAGCAACGCGACTCCACTGACACTATTTGCTCTGCGACATCAATATTTTGTCTCCAGAAATAAAAAAAGCCTGGAGGAGCTTCCGAAGAGTGGTTGAGTTTCTTCGTCTTCGTCTTCGTCTTCCTCCGCTTATCCGGGTCCGGGTCGCGGGGGCAGCATCCCAATTAGGGAGCTCCAGGCCATCCTCTCCCCGGCCTTGTCCACCAGCTCCTCCGGCAGGACCCCAAGGCGTTCCCGGACCAGATTGGAGATGTAACCTCTCCAACATGTCCTGGGTCGACCCGGGGGCCTTCTGCCGGCAGGACATGCCCGAAACACCTCCCCGGGGAGGCGTCCAGGAGGCATCCTGACCAGATGCCCAAACCACCTCAACTGGCTCCTTTCGATCCGGAGGAGCAGCGGTTCTACTCCGAGTCCCTCCCGAATGTCCGAGCTCCTCACCCTATCTCTAAGGCTGAGCCCGGCCACCCTACGGAGGAAACTCATTTCGGCCGCTTGTATCCGCGATCTCGTTCTTTCGGTCATTACCCAAAGCTCATGACCATAGGTGAGGATTGGGACGTAGATCGACCGGTAAATCGAGAGCCTGGCTTTCTGGCTCAGCTCCCTCTTCCCCATGACAGATCGGCTCAGCGTCCGCATCACTGCAGACGCCGAACCAATCCGCCTGTCGATCTCCCGATCCCTCCTACCCTCACTCGTGAACAAGACCCCGAGATACTTAAACTCCTCCACTTGAGGTAGGACCTCTCCCCCGACCCGGAGGTGGCAAGCCACCCTTTTCCGGTCGAGAACCATGGTCTCAGATTTGGAGGTGCTGATCCTCATCCCAGCCGCTTCACATTCGGCCGCAAACCTACCCAGCAAGAGCTGAAGGTCAGAGCTGGATGAAGCTAGGAGGACCACATCATCCGCAAAAAGCAGAGACGAGATTCTC